CCTGTGATTCACCTAATTACACAGTCAGCAAACTATTTCCACATCCTTTGACAAGGGCACAAGCAAATGAAGTTTCATAACTTAAGCAGAGAACATACTGAGACATAAAATTAAAATACACCGAAGAGTAGTAAAAGAAAACAGGTATTCTCAAGACCGAGTATAAAACAATTGATTTTTCCTTATTCTGCATAAAATTATGAAGGCTTCAAAAACATTTACATTTGGGGGGGTGGGGTGTATCCCGATAAAAAAAACAAAGGAGAAATTAGCAGAGGACAGCAAATATTCCAGCAGTGATTAGAGAGCTTGTATGGATTGTAAGAGGTATCTGTGCTCCAATATACACAAATGAATAGGGGTAAGAAGTGAAAGATCAGTCCCCTCCTAAATGGTTGATAATCTCAGTACATAGGCTCTCATGGGAAAGCGATCCAAACGGGGACTTGGCAGTTTAACCATCTTTCCACTGTACAGCCTGAGCAACTGCACTAAAAATCCCTGAGGTAATTTGCTTTTCTAAATCACATCTTCTGCTCTTTAAGCATGACCACACACTTCAGACATAAAAAAATCTTCTTGATGATAATCCATCCTTGCAAAATGTTTCAGTTTTGACTTAACCAGCATTTTCAGACTAATAAGTACTTGCTTCCTTACCAGACAGTTTTTTTATTTTAGAAACTCAGTCACTCTGGTTTCAGAACTGCAATGCTGTATTCATGCAGAATTACAGCAAGTTTATTTTTGTTTTGCTAAACCAACATGACAAACTGAAGGATACAGGCAACAGATAAACCCACCAGTTGCTAAACTCATGGTTTTCTCTTAATGATAAATTAATGAAAAATTGTGTTGCAAACATTAAAACTCTCAAGTAAAGCTACGAACAAAGTACGGGTCTGACAGCTCCTCATGGAGAGGCTGCTTCTGCTATGCCTTCCACAGCTCTCAAAAGCAAAAAGCAGGAGAAAACCTTTAACAGAGAAGAGGAACTGAACCTCTATACCAGTGACCTGAGCCAACAAGGTAACGTTTCACAAACAGTATTTTGTCACATAGACACAATCTCAAGGTCAATTGTCCTACTAGTCAGAATAGCATAAAGATTGGCATCTCTATCAGTGCACCTACACAACCGATAAGGACAGTCAGGACTTTAGGATGGCATTTGCCTGTGAGTTAAATCAAAGAAGGTTTCAGAAAAGCATGCCATTTGATTAAAAACAGTTTCTCCATACCACAGAAATAACCCTCTGACGGGCATATTTTACAAGGATTTGGAAAAGTAACAAATCATCCAAGAAACACTAAGGGTTATCTTCAGAGCCCTTTTCCACAAATACAAACACCAGTGCACAAAGCGGGACTGTTTAGCTTCCAAATAAGTACTGCAGTCTTCACAAATCCATTTGGTAGGGAGCTAGGTGGGTCTAACTCAACAACCCACAATTTTGCAGAGGAAGGGAAAAAAACCCCAAAACTTGCTAAAGGCCAAAAACCATCATGGCTTTAAGGGAAGAAAAAGGCATGTCTCGCCTTTTGCCCTGTTCTTTCCTCTATATTTGTCTTATTTGCTGACCAAGACAAGATCAACAGTATTTCTTCCTTTCTCATCACTAGACAGAAAACTTCTGGGTTTCAAACACAGCAACAAATCCATAAGAGTGAGCAAGGAGAAAATCTGCCCTCAGTGACCCTCTAAATCCTTTAACACCAAGCAACCTTTCACTCTGTTCCTTTGACCAAAGGAACAGAGTGAAAGGTTGCTTGGTGTTAAAGGTAGACCAAACCTGCAGATCTACCTGCAGATCTGTGCTTTAACACAGATCATCTTTGTTCCCACCAAACAAAAACCAGCAAATAGTCACAGAGAGCGATTTGGGTCTTTCTCAATGCACACAAATGAAATGGTCAAATTCAAAAAGGAAGGCACTGTATTATACATTTGCTATGGAAACAGGACCACCTGTACTGGGTCTAAACAACAGTTCATCAAGCTCCCAGACTGGAAGGGCAACACTTTCTCTCTTCTCTTTAAGAAAGAAACAAATAGGACACACATTTCTCTCATGCTGTTTCACAGTCTGGAGTTTAGCATCTTCCTGGTGTGAAGCTCATATTCCCACCATGCTGGACATGAATGTTTTCTTCATAGACTTATGAAACCATGTTTTGTATTTTCAGATTAGGCAGTGAAAAACTATATTCCCTGTCTCACATAAAATACATAGTAGCTTGAACCACCATCTCATAGCAGACAAGTTTCTTCCATGAAACTAAGAGACTTTTGCAACTAGGGAACATAGTTTTACAGCTAAGTACAATGATTCAAATCCTGAAATACTTCTACAAAATGGAAATATATCAGTCATGAACATAATAGAGAGGAAGGTGACAAAAGAATGATTACTTTTCTGCAAACCACATTCAAAGTTATTCTTTCCACATGTCAGCAAAGAAACTATGGAAGCATGTAGGGAATAAGCTAAAGAGCCTTCACCATGACACGCTCTCTCAAAAATACTCCTCCTTCTAAGATCTGCCAGGGCTATTACATGTCACTGCTTTGTGGCCAATCTGCACACACAACCTGTATTTAAACCTCTATCAGCACACGTCCATTTTACAAAAAGGACGCAGTTGCTATGTACAGACGGACTCTGCAATTAGTGGACTTACTCTGATACATTTGTTTTACAAAATAATTGGCCCCAAATTGTATCCATATCATCTTTACTACTCCTTTCTTTCAGACATAAATGCACCAAGTACACAGACAGTATAATTTCTCCTGACCACATATTGCAAATTTTGCTACACATTTTGAAAACTTACTAACAACATAGTAGGATGGCTAGCTATTGCTTATAAGGTTATAAATCATAGCTATCTGATTTCCCAACACATACTGATATTTAAAATGACAAAAACTGATAAAAATTCAGCTACACCGGTTGCATACTTCTGCAACAAAAATACGTTATAGCTGAAGTTAGTATGGAACAAAAAGAGGACGTATTTAAGCTCCAAAGTAAAATCTGCATCCCCAAAAGAAGTAAGAGGAAAGACAAAAGTTGAGATTCAACCAAAATAGAAGTTTGAGAACAACAGCAGGCCAACTTCAGCAAGGTACTACCATGTGTGCACATCCACGTCATAGGCAGTGCCATGGTCACTTACTCTACATTATTTTTATACATGCAAGTATGTTATATAAATTGGACTCAGATTAATCTTCACATATGAAGAAGGTTTCTGCTAATAATTTTTCAGTGTCTTCTGCTGAGCATGTGATATTTAGATACATGAATTAACAATCCAAAGCACATGCTGCTCCAGCAACTGGAGAAGGACAGAACTTGTGCAATGAAGCTCCACTCAACTCGCAGGTCTGTGGAGGGAGTAAGTTGTACATTTCCTGCCTGAGCTCAGGTTTCAAGTGATGAAGCAATTCAAGGGAGTGTTCCCTATCAAAGGGCAGAACATTCCTGCAATACTGGCTTGGTTAGGGCACTGAAGAGCATATAGAAGCTTCAAGTCAATTTTCGGCATCCTTTATTCTTTTATGTAAATGTCTACAGTAAAATGACAATTTGATTTGGCTTACAATAAACTAACCGATTTTAAGCAGCTTAATAAATAAGCAGTTGGTTAAGCATGTAATTAACTGAAATTTAATTTATCCAGGAGTGCAACCACTTTGCTGACTTGATGCAAACTGTCTTTAAAAGAACTTTTCATTACTGTATAGAAAAGCAACCACCTTAACACACTGCCCCATGCACACGTGCATGACAGGACAAGAGAAATTTAATTTTTCATGGCTCCTCTGAAGCAGATAAGAAGTTAATGCACTGTCAGATTTCCATTTGTTCATAAGCTCATATTTTAGCAACCCAGAAGGCATATATTTCCACCGTGGCCCACCTGTTCATTTGGGGACAACACAATACATGAATTTGCTACAAGAGGTGGAAAAGTAGGCCAGATTCATAGAAGACCTTACCACATGGTGCCGTTTGAATATATTCAGTAAAATGTAGACCCCATTGTTACTAAAATTACCCAGACAATTTAATTATGAGGAAAAAAAAAAACTATTAAAAATACAAAGACAATTTTTAAGGTTTAAACAGAGTAATACAACAAATTGTACTTCAAACCAACACTGAGTTAAATCTAGAGCCCATCTTCATACATGTTTATTGAAAAAATGTTAGTGAAACTACATGAAATGTTTTAATCCAACTAGTCAGAAAATGCTAAAGATTAGTTGGCTGAGCACTATTTGATGGAATTCCACATCAGTCCAACACAAAAGCTCAAATTTTTTTTTCTTTCAAAAATCTGTTTTGAAAGCTTTCAGCAATTCTGATGTAGCCCACAGCTTCAGGACATTCCTCAAAAATAAAACCAGAGTAGAAATGCATTTTCATTTAAGTGAATCGACCCATGCACTACAATCCTGAACTTGATCCAACAATTCATACTTCATTCATTTCTTCCTGCTTTCTGCTCACCAAACAATGGAAAGTATCCATTAATCTTTAAAGCTGATATGTAAACATTGGTTCATTTCACTTTGCAGTCACCAGGTGCAAAGGTTTCAGCAAAACTTCTAGTCAGACAACAGCATCATTATTGATTCTGGGCTCTATCAAAAGTTTAATTTCTAAATTTATTATCTTTAATATATAAATTAATCAAATTCATTCTGCTTAAGAAAAACAATATACTCCTGAAAAGTTATTATACGGCCACTCATTAAACTTTTCCTAAAACTTCACTGGAAAAAAGGGATATCACATTTTTGCTGTTGATGAATGGAAACAGTTACTGTGACTGTGCAATGTAACTACAAGCACGAGTCCTTCAGTGCTACTACATTCCCAGACGGTTGTCAAAAGAGACAACTGGATACAAGGAGATATGGGCTTTGGAAGTCAGGAAGGCAAAGTTTCCAAAACCTCAGCAACTTCTCTTCACTGGTGGGTAACCAGACTGTGCTCTCTTTAGCCCGGCAGAGAGCCGGCAGCTCCAAACTCTGCTGCTCTCTTTGTTACAGCCTGGCCCTGAGCAGCCTCCAGACTTTATACGTGAAAATGTTGCACAAGTTCACCTAATTTCCAGCTGCTTCTACACGTTCCTCCAAGACCTCTATTACTGGCAGACACCCTGAGATGCTTGATTAAATTCTTCACAGATGCCAGAAGCATAGAACAGCAAACAAAATTCCTACCTGCAAGTACTTCACTTTTGAAAGCAATAAAGAACAACATACTCATATTGCCCCTCAAAACATCCATCATCTCACCTGCACTTTAATGAATGAGTTACTCTTACATCCTCCTTTTCTATATCCTCAATCAACGACATGAAGAGCGAAATCTAACACAACAAGTGTTCATTCTTAAAGTATATCTGACAGTTTCTGAAAATTCTGGGCCCTAACTTCAACAGCTGAGAGAAAAGAAACTCAATTTAGCCTCTCTCCTCCACCATCAGCTTCTCCTATATACATGCCAGTAGCAGAGAATTAATTTAATATTCTAGCTGCTTGGATAAGTTTCTAAGATTGTTAATTCATCTCATTTTATGAACATGGGATTTCATGGGGTTTGGCTGTGGATTTCAGTACAGGCTTGATGCCTAAATTAATAAGTACTCTCAGTTAAACAAATTACTTGAGGACTTCTTTTTAAATTAAGACCTCCTTGGATAATGCTTTTTATTGACTTCTTTGGAAAGGGGTTTCAAATTTGAACAACTGCTGTGTGATATTAAACAAGATTTTCACTGTTATAATCACATAATTACTAAAAGACACAAAGGTTTAAGATAAAACATCTTGCTCTGTCACTCCCAGAATCTCACACTTTCTAACATAAGAATAATAATTAATGAGTGTTCAGTCCTTCTACACAGGATAGTGGTGAATTTGTTAGAGCCACCTGGAGCAGAACACAGCAAATTAGTGAGATACTACTGCAGCAAGCTACTATTTCATCTAAAAAATAAACTATTTTGACAATTTGACAATTTCCTCCCTTGCTCCTCCCTGACCCCAAGAATAAGGGCACAGCTAACAGAGAAGCCTATAATAAGTGAAACTTCTTTCTAATTAAATGTCAATACTTATTATGCTTGAATTGCATGCACCACGCTCACAAAAAAAGCCTCTCAAATTCAGCTGCTCCTTTTCGCTGCTTTGGGTCAGAAGTAGGACAGTGCATGAAGACTGGGATCTTTGCTTCACTCCTGTACTCAGCATTTCAGGAAACACAAAACAGCAACATGAAATTCATTAGTTTGAGATCACAATACCTGGCACAGTTTGGAAACAATATTAATAAAAAAATTAAGAGTCCTTAGAAACCACACCATCAACACTGCCAATTACTTTGAGCCTCAAAACTTTATGTCCTCCCTTTCTATGCTCAGTCGTGTTTCATGTGGAAAAAGTAATCCCTCCATCTTCACTATCCAGGACTATTGATGACACAGAACTTGAGAAGATATTAATTTTTTTTTTGTGAGAAAAAAAAAACCAAACCAAACCAAAGACAAACGGACTTACAGATTCCAAACCGCTCAATATGGTTCATTAAGATCCAAATTTACTCTTAGCAAACACCTGTCCAAACCACATTGCAACCTGAGAGTTTCAGAGAGGCTGAAGAAATACACCCAATACACTAAAAGTCTGCAGCTAACAAAGATTTAGAATTAAAGCAATCAGACCTTCTTGCCCTCAACCCCCACTTTTCTACTGCAGCAGTCTTACAGGACAGAGTGTGAACGAATGCAAAGACAACAGAAAATCTCCTTCCAGCTTGTTCCTGCCAACTTCTGGCTCAGTACTCACTGACCTGATGCTAACAGAACTCCAGAAGATACAGGACCTTTGCATCACTTCCAAACGATGCAAGAAAAATGTCCAGAGTGCACGTGCCTCTAGGCAAAGGCTTCATAGCAAGTACCTATGGTTATTCACAACAAATACAAACTCATTCCTCCTGCAGGTGACACACTGAAACTATAGACTAGAAACATCATAGGAAGTTGTGCTGCTACATTGTTTCTGACCCAGAGACCTTTCACTTCCAAATGCTACTCAGGAGTTCGGGAAGTTTGATGAAAACAACAGTCGCAGACACATTTGAACAAGATGTGTGAAGAAGATCACAGGAGGTTTCAGAGATTACTTTGAGCACAAGTGTAGAAAATTTCTCTATGATAGTAAACTACCCATACACACCTTAACAAACCAGAAAAACCCTCACAGTTATCCCTCTCTTAAGCAATGGACTGTAACTGATCTTCAGGAGTCACCTGGATCACAGCGTGACCACTTAACAGAATGGTTTAGGAAAACCACGCCATGATGTGAAGAAGCAGCAGGCAGCGAGCAGGCAGCTGAGGCTAGAAATGTCTTTAAGTAACAATACTGGTATCATTTAAGGCCTGTCATGTGAAAACAGAAGTTGAAGGCAACCACCAGCTACAGCAGTACCAGCCTGTGAGCCAGCAAGGGCACATAGAGGGAAGAGGCCCTGGCATGACAGGCAGCCAACACACACGTGAACTGATTCGAGTTAGCAGCTGCCCACACTCCTTGAATAAGCAATTTAGGATGGAAATGGCAAAGCTAGCAGGGGAAAAAGTGAAATCTGACTTTACTTTAAAAAAAGCCAACCAATGCATGTGGAAGGGCAGATAGCTGAAGCAGTGAGTTAAGCTGCCAGGAAAAAAAATCAGGAAGAGAAGTACCATTTAAATATCACTAAATGGTGACTTTTAACTATTCTACTATATTTAAAAAATATTGTCAATTAAACTAATATACAAATGCATTTATAAGACCTTAGGGCACAGCTGTCACCTCATGATATTTGGAGTTGTTTATCATGTGTAAAGATTACTAGGAATAAATAGAAAAGTTTTCCAAGCGAGTTTGACCTCCATTATTTTAAACTCAATTCTATCCATAACCTCCCCCTGTTTGAAAATAGTGTTAAAATGGCAATCCAGGATCCTCACACAGATGATTACTACATCTAACTCTTCCCATTCCAGGAGCTGGATATCTTATTCTTGCTTTTATGACTCAATGCTATAATAAGAGGTAATAAATGGAGACTATAACGAAATATTACTAAAATATCTTGATAGAAGCATCTCAAAATAAATCCACAGTACTTTTTAAAAGGCGTTCTTAAACTAGGTTAAATAGATTTAAATAGATCTTTCATTAAATGGAAATTCTGGCTCTGATACAATTCTAAGATCAGGAAGCCTAAATATTTACTTATCAAAAGAAAAAATGCTTGAAATTAGTGCAAGTCCAGACAAACTACAACCAGAAACACCAGGTGACAACAAGTTAGTATGTTATATCTTGCTGAAAAAAGGGGGGGAGGGGGCAGGAGGGGAAACCACCACCAAACGCCAAAAATCCCAACTTCTTCCAACAGTTTTTCTCAAAAGTATCAAGGGGTAACTAAATTTGATTCCCCTTTGCTATACAACTTAAAAAAAGATTTCTTCACCTATTAAAAAGGGAGTTCACAATTCTCTACAGATCCAGTAGAACCCAAAAGCTCTTTAGTATTAAAAAGGAGTCTGTTAAATTCTCAAGTTTTTAATGACAATGCACAACTGCCTGTAGCTAGAATAACCTTGTACAGTCCTTTCATGATACTAATTATTAACAGTTCTAAACTTGAGCAACAGCCTGACTATACACACTAAATTCAGAAAATTTAGCAAGTGAGAATTAGGTTTTGATTCGAACTCTTCCATCTACATATAGGAGGGGTGTTTCCTAACACAATTTACGAATTCGAAGAGAGAAAGAAGTCACACGCAGGTAATAACTGCTGGTCTTCAACAACTGTACACAACTAAGCAGATAAAACAAAGGTGAAACACCAAATGTGCAAAGTTACGTGTTCTAACTTGGTGTCACTGTAAATAAACCAAGTCCCACATCCTGTACAGTGAACAAGCCTCAACCACAATTACCTGAACACAACATGGACAGAAAACATACCAATGGAGAAAATCTGTGGGCTAGCTATTAGCCACTTGAGCACCCACAAATCAATACTGCTGCACACAGCAGGACCCTCAAACCCAGAGCAGCCCGTGGAATTGGCAACTGTAGTTCCAGCCACGGCATCTGTGTTGTCAAGCCTTTGAAGTCAAAGGCAGTTTGAATTGAAAACAAACTGCAAAATTCAGAAAAAGCTTTTATTCTACTCATAGCCAACTTCAAGTTGAATTTTGGCTGGCACTAGAACTGAGGTATTAGACAGAGGAAGGAAAAGTTGTCTGTGTATATTTTGTTCAGAGTTGCTAAACCTAAGCCAAATTATCTTCAATAGACTTAAACACAGTAGATGCTAATTCCAAGGCTCAGTATAACCAACTGGACATTTTCCATCAAAATTAATTTTTAATCAGAAATGCTATTTCCACAAAATAGAAATTTTCACACGGAAAATTTCATTTTTTCCAAAACCCACCGATTTTCTGCTGGAAACACTAAAATAATGCCTGTCTGGCTACCTGCCTGGAAAACGCTTGTCAACTCCGCTTCTTCCTCCAACAGAAAACAAACCAAGGGAAGTCTTCTGGCAGTGCTGCCCAGAGAAGTGACCTCACTCCATCCGTGCCCCTGGCTTTCAGCCACCCTGCCTTGCACTCCTTTCCTGAGCACCCAGACGCTCAGCCTCTCCCCAGCACTTTGGCCATGAGGTGTGAGATCAGAGCAAGTTGCTTCCTTGGTTGGTTTTAGGGTGTGCACTAGAAAGACCCCAAAGCACACGTGGGCACTAGAACAACAGCTCTCCATGTGAGGCAAGATCAGTTTTCCTGGTGGACCTGCCCAGCAGCAAAACAACCATCCTCTTTCATATCATCCCAAATTTTAAGGCCTCCTTTCACTTATTTCTTTATTTACTACTAACAGCTCTCACAATTTTACAATTTCAGTGCAGCTTAAGTAAATATTTTTCTGACTTGCCTCTGCCTCCTCTCCGAAATTTTGTTTACAGGAAACAATTTCCATTTTCAAGCCAGCTCAACACTAGAAATTCAAAATTATTTGAGTGAATCTGACAATGCAAATATCACTCATGTTGAAATGAAATCTGATAATCATTCACTGGCAGTAAAATTAGAAAAAAAAAAAAAAACCAAACCAAAACCCACAGTTATGTGGGTTTAGCTTCTTTAGCAAAGTATCTCAAAGAGGTCTACATTCCCCAGATTTATAAATTGTACAAACCTTCCTTGTACCAATTCTATCTGTACTTCTTACAAAGTGAAACTCAAAGTCAAACGAAAAGTTTTCCAAAATTGAGGTATATCCTGACCTTAACAATAACACCCTGTCAGGGGTTATTAAATGTCAAGGCCAGACCTCAGCCCCCCTGCACTTATCTTCACACATTCCGAGTTTTGTACGTTGCTAAACTATAATCAAATTTGTACATAAATAAGAGGATAAATTATCTTCGTGTGTATCTAAAAATGGTTTTCCTCTTGGGATATGTTTCCCTCTTCTGAAAATAAACTGACAAACTTACAGAAGCATCAGTAAAAAAATGTAGGGGAAGAAAACACAATGCAAGAGGACAGACAAGATCCAAACTTACATAAAGGTTTATAATTCTTACAAGGGTTCATCAAACCTTACTTTTGAAAAAGCCCTGAAGTTTTATTTTTTTGTTTCTGAATATGATTGTTTTCTTCCTTTCAGTTTTTGTTCTTTATAGAATTACCCAGTAATACTGGGAATTTTCCACAATATTAACATAACAAAAATAGCAGATGCTATTAATGGTGTGAAAAGCAACATAACGCTGTCAAGGTTAACTATGAATATACTGGGGAGGGGCGTAGAGAGCAGAAATCCCTATATTCGTGCATCAAAAAAGTAAAGGCACAAAGCTGTGGGTATGCAACTGGAAAAGGTACAAAACCCCAAACCAGAATTTTTTAATGTACTACAGCACCAAAATGAAGTCACCATGTTACCCAGGTAAAACTAAAATTCACTGGCAAATTCTGTATTTATGTACTATTCATCTCAACTATTAAATCTCAACCCTTTAATTAGAAGTTAGATTCCTTTTATTAACATAATGGGAAATCAATTTCCAGGTACAGGGTATACATTTTTTGTACAAAACCCCCACTAGTTTCCTTGCATTTAATAAAAGATCAACCGAGAAAAATTAACCAACCATTTTGCTTGGAGATGAAAACTTCAAAAATCAGCTGCCATTCAGAACCAGCAAGAAACTTTCAATACTGATGGTTGGAGATTAATTAATTAAATTATTCTATTATTTTACAGAGTTGATTTTTAGTAGGAAAACAACTTCTACCATCTCCTGTAAAGCATTCATGTTCAGGAAGACACAGAGGCTTCTGTTTATCACATTGGCTCAGTTCAGTATCAAGTTTCACATCCGCTGAAAAAACAGGCACATAACCATGTTACAGGCCAGTTACTCACCTGGTTAAAAAAGCTATAAAGGCAATAAAAGAAACATCACAACTCCAGCAGAATAAAACACTGCCAAGAGCGACAAACGAACCCACACATCCAGAGTTCACGTGTGCAGAAGTTAAAGAGCAAAAGGCTGTTAAATGGAGAAAGAACAACAAAATTGTAAAAGGCTATTTATAGGTTTTGTGTCACACTACTATTTATCACACCGCTATTTATGCTTTCTCTCATGTATTTACCACTTTTAATCAAGAACAAAACCCTGACTGCAGTTTAATCACCTGCATATCACAGGCTCCTCAGTTTCATTTACTTACTTCTCTGCTGCTCCCAAGAACTTTCATCTGGCCAAGTCCCTGGTAGGAAGCCAGCACCTCCTGCCACCAACCAGCACAGAAAGCGCCCCCTGCCCCTGACAACACTTTCACAGTATCAAATTATCTCTTATTCTTCTTTGTAAGAAGTACCCTCTAAAAATATGTTCTCTGTCACTAAAACCATAAGATGGTTCAAATCCCCACCCCGAGCCTCTTCACTGTGCTTCAGCTTAGAGCACACAGTTCTGCCTCAGGCTGGGGACAAGTTTGGTTTTTGATTTTTTCCCCTAGCAGAACTATAAATGCCAAGTTGGTTGTAGCCACAGCCCAATAAAGAAGTTCACACATCATCACAGCAAACCTTCTCCAACTTGTGGTATCAAAGAACAGACCAATTTCCCCCCCACACCTCCCCCCAGTCTAATTCTAAAATCATGCTGCAAGGGACAGTTATATATCTAATCACTAAACTGAGTAAGTGTAACACAAATCATCTTTTCCACTACATTGCCTATAACTGGCATCTACTACTCTATAATAAAATAATCCAACCATAATAGTTGTTCTCAAAAGAAGTCTTAACCCAGAGATTAATTTAGCTTTCTATGCCACAGAAGTTCACACCACTTGCATAAAAAAAAATACTGTTAAAAATGAACTTAAGCTATTTTACTGTTCAACTGAATACAGTAGAGACTGCGACATCCTAGCCTTGAACAATCTTTGCCCACTACATTAAAACTAAGGACACAGCAGTCTGTTACTCTTTGAGCCAAAGGACTGAAGCTGCAGACTTAAAAGCCTATATGCAAACTAATTCACCTTTCAACACACAACAGTTTTACAAAATGTTTAGCAAAAAAACCATTTTGCATTGTTTCTTCCACTGTTATGTAGTTAACGTATACTATTGTAAGAGAACAAAACCAGCTATAATTCCCAGGCTGTTAGAAACCAGAAGTTTGCAAGGCTGCCTCATTTTCACTGCAGTCACTTCTCTCTGCTCCTCCAGGCAAGTGCTCAACTCCCAAGCCCCACCTCTGCTGTGCCGGGGCCATGCAAGGCAGCAGGTCTGAATGACAGATTTGAACCAATTCCTTCAGTGCTCTCAGTTCTCCTTTCATTCTACTGATAAAGTACTTTAAATAATAATGAATGATTATGTTGAACATCTATCTGTTTCAAATTTGTAACAAGCATTGGAAGCATGTGGTAGTCTATGAAAACCTGACAGCAGAGACCTAACACAAGGCTTAGTGAGCATGTCAGCAGCAAAACTGGCATGCTACAAATGCCAGAAAGGGATTTCATAGTCAAAATAAAAAGGTAATGTACATCTGCAAGAAAAAACAAACATACCATGGTTTCCAAAAGCATGAAAAGAGCACACATTTTAAGTAGCTGATCTGCTAAGACAGTGTAAGCAACAGTCACAGTGGGAAACTCACCCTGCTCCATAATCATTATTTCCATACAAGGGATGACATTCTGTCTCCAGAGATACCTGACGAGCATCTCAGTAAGACAAAAAGTCAACATATTTTTATTATAGTAGACCTTTAATATTTGGAGATTCATACAAGCTATTATGTAGACAGTGATATTACACCTTATCAAAGACAGGGCAATAACTCCTCAGTCAAAACTAAGCATGGAAACAATGCTGCAGTCCTTAAATCTAGGACAGAACTACTTCTGGAGGTGTAACTGTGGCTCATGCCAAACTCAATAGAGGACTTAGTAAGCTGGCAAACTTACACCCAGCATTTCAGTTCTCAAGGATTTGTGTGACCCACACTTCCAATGTGCACTGGTAGGGGAGACGTGAATCTCTGACAAATGAACTCTGAAATTCCTCCAAGCCTGTAGAGCCAAAAAACTCCAAGTCTTTTGACAGAAATTATAAATTTATGTGTCCCTATAGAAAAAAAAAAAAGACTTACAGAATGAACCCAAGTTTCCCATCTTCTTATCCTTTTGGTAAAGATCAGAATCAGATTTTTTTGCTGTTTTCTATAAAAGCAGTGGAAGGGAAGCTCCAGCAAGTAAAATCATCACTTCCTTAAATACCTTTCCTTTAAAGCCATCATTAAACACTTTTTTTCTGCTCAACTGCCAAGCAGTCAACATTCTGGGACAGATTCATTTCCCTTTTCTAAAATGGAACAGAAGCTATGTGGAAGAAAAAAAAAAAGCCACAACCTCTCAAAATACAGAGCACAAGTGACTATCTGTCCAGTGTCTCCCTCCAAATAATGCCATGTGCAGAGACAGCAGAAGGAATGTCTAGACTTCAGCCTGGTGTCAGCCATCCCAAAAGTACAGGCAGTCCTCAGAGGGAAGTTCATAGACCAGGTGTGATTAATCTCCACTAGTGCTAACTTGCACAAATGAGGAAGATCAATTCAGTAAGCAAACCTCAAAAATAATGTATGAGGCAAGTTCTATGAAAAATCTAGCTTAGTTTTCCAAAAGCTCTAAGAGCTTACTCAAGACACTTATGTTTTATTTAGAAAATGAAGTTCTAAAATTTCCCACTACAATTCTTGCTTACATTCAGAGTTCATTAAATCACAATTAAAGGCTCAAAGGTATCAGCACAGACTTGCAGAGAAATAAACACAAGGCACAATAATGAATATTTGAGTTACTTTTATGAACATAACTATGGACAAAAAAAGCCTTAACAACTTGGTAATATAAACAATACTATTTCTCAATATACGTTCTCATTTTATAAAGACAAATGTGGTCTCTCTTGAGAGAATCATTCTTCTATGAATATTTGACATCAAATGTAAGAGGTTTTGTCTTAGCAAGGATGTTATGGTTCCTTACAGAAATAACAGATAACAGTGGACAGTGGAGATAGCACACTGTTAAGTTTAGCATAAAACATAAAATTGTTAAGTTTATATGTTCAGACACTTAAATATGGCCCATTTATTAGTCATTAGGCATCATTAAGCAATTTAAATAATATACTAATTAAGCAATCTTAAAATAGCCTGGCTCTTGTCCCTGCTGTTTTCCCTGGAAAGGCAGGTACAAACATCGGTCAGATTCACAAGCTGATGGCTACAGACTGAGAGGTTGATGCAGTTCCCATGCTGAAATTACAAAGATAATTATTCATTACTGAAACCATCAGTTCCGTACCATTCGCTTCCTTCATGTATTCCATGTACCTTCTTTGCTTCTCAAGGCTCTAGCAGTCCCCCTTTTAACTGTTCAACTGACTCCACTACTTAAATCTTTCCCCGCATTTTGTCTGTTTCTCTAATTACATTTCAACTTCCCTCTGGCTTACTCCATGCTTGGTTTTACCACTTCATGCCTTACTCCTTTGGAGTGGGTAAAGAAGATGGAACAGAAACAAAAATCACAAAAATGTCCCCTAAACTGACAGAAAATCAAACGGGTTCCACCTGGAGGAAAGAAGAAAAACTGAGACAAGAACGACGCCCAAGCCTGCTCCCAAGCTTAAACCAGAGATGCCAGGTACATCCATAGTCAGAGTAACAGCACAGGTGTAAGGTGCCTGGTGCACTCTACTGAGATGCTTTCCACATGGTTATGAAAGGAAGGGATAGATGGCAACATATCATCTACACAGCATTACCAAAAATTATTAAGAGGCTTTTAAATTTCACAGATTTTTACAACGAGGTAGAGAAAGATTTCTACACCACTAGAAAAATCCATAAAGGACCTGCATAGTCAAGTTACTTCCCCCTAACAGTCTCCCAGATGCATAAATTTTGAGTTAAATCTGTGTTTCAGAACTTTGCCCTGACTCATTTTTGTATCATCTTCACTGACAGAATTAATTCAGTGCCCATAATGCTTAGGGACAACCTCCTTCAAAAAAAGACTTTCAGAGACCCAGCAGGAAAACTGATTATGTAGAAGTTTATTCTCAACATGCACAAACATGTTGACAGTGACACGATAAAGCTTTCCAGTAACTGAGTTTTCTGAAATGTAAAAAAAAGAAGAAAACTTTGTCTCTATCAACCTGGACTTGGATATCTAATGGTTGGACTCAATTATTTAAAGAGGCCTTTTCCAACCTAAACGATTCTACAGCTCTAAGTGTAAAAAGACACTCAGAAAATAAAAGATTACATTCATTTTTTTCTTTGAAGTGAAAATACAGTACCAAGTGCATTGAGAAGGAAAAGTCTAACACACAAATGAAGGTGGCATTAAAAGGTGCTGAGCTCTCTGATTCAGCACACCTGCACTGCTCCTCTTGGGCACTGTGTAAAAACTCCATTCATGTGCCCCTGCAGTCAGGCCCAAACGCTTTCTTACATCCTCTTCTTTAGGAACTCTTTTGTAATTAAACTCAGCTTCCCCAAAGTATTTACATTTTTAACATCCCAGAATTAAAAGGCTAAAGAGGAGGGACATATGGCAGGATATGGAACGTGCACATTAACAAAGAAGCCAACCAACTGGCTTCTTCTATTCTCCAATGTCTATCCAGATGCACTTTTCTCTGCTGGCAGCTCTGCAGCACAGCCCAGTTCCCCTGGAAGCAGCTGCAGGAGCCAGGGGTCGAAGGAACAGGAGTGTTGTTCTGCAGAGAGGGCCTTTCTGCATGGTGGTGCCGTGCTCAGCTGAGGGCACAAAGCTCTTCCCATGGTTCCAGAGATGCTCAGAAGAGTTATTTTCCCAAAATGCAGACACTTGTATCACACAAGCAATGGCCACGTTCGCCGATGAGATGCAGTAACTTTCTCTCTAAAGAGCAAGATATCCTCAGAGTATCACAGGTCAGATTCAGTTCTTTCACTACAAGAAGTACTTTAAATAAGGACTTTAGGAAATACAGTATTTTCAAAACTGCACTGGTAAATTGAGTTAGCAACAAGCTTCATCTTAAAAAAGATGTACAAGACAGCCCAGAATAGTAAGGCTCATGAAGATGCAGAGTGCCAAACCAAAACACCAGACACTTAGTTCAGTTTTCCCAGTTATGTCCTTTCTGAAATAATTAGCAGATCTGCAACAAAGATGAATATTATGAAGAGGCAAAAAACTTCAACCCATAAAATGGAAAGGATCCTTTTCCCATTACAGAACAATAAACCTGGGGACAGATACAGAAACTATATTCTTTAGCAGCATACAAAGGAGATCTGAATACATTACTTTTCCATTATGACTATGCAGAGCACTCCAGCTGAAAAAGTCCAGATTGAATTGAATTGATCCTTCTGAATTCCAGCCACCAAACTGGCATTAGAAATACTGACTTCAGAACAAGCGTCACTTTGGCAAGTGTCTGTCACTGTAGGTTGACAAATACTAACTGCTCATCCAAGTACAATCATGCAGTTGTTGAAATGGGCTGCCAGTAACAGAGTTCAGAACTGTCAGCGCACTAACACTGATGAAAACATCCTGGCCTACCATGAAATTGTTGATACCTTCTTCAGAAAGATAATGGCATACAATTTATTCCCTAAATCACAGGAAAGAGATCCTGGTGACCCATGACTGGAAGTGTTTTGGTGGCTCCAGGAAAGTTGCAAACAGAGTGGAAATGCACAGATTAATGGATCTCTTTACATTCCAGTAAAGGTTGGTCAACTCTTGGCTTTGTCCAGTGCTGGAAAACATCCTCTGCTACAAACTCAGTGTTAGCATGTCTAAAACTGGAGTCTGTGAAAACAGAGAACAAAAGAGATGTAGTTCCAGATGGGTCACACAATTACTCAACTGAGGCTTCCAGGAATAATCCCCACTACTCATGGGACAGTGGGTAACCAGTGCTATGCACCATGACACTCCTTCAGCGATAGTCAATGGTGGGGTGTCTCAGAAGACAAGATGAAGGATATCGGAAGTGCTCTTCACCTCTGACTGTTCAGAGGAGAGGAATGTAACAAGGTCTGTCCTTTCCAGCTCCAGTACAAGAGCTGGTGCCAGGATGCTCTGGCAACTTCTTAAAAATAATGAGCATGATGTTATGTACATCAGAACGAGAGGCAATGGTAAAGAGTTTATTACCACCACGATCTTTTGAAAAGTAGCTCCCACACTCCAAGAACCAGCACAGCATGCTTATTTACCAGAAGGTCACCCAAAATTCTCTCAAAGAGAACTTCTCAGCAGTCAAGAGCATGAAGGATCTACAACGCCCATCTGAGAATGTGCCATTCTCAAACTCCTAAAGCTGGAGCCCAGAGAGCAGAAATCCCTGTTATTTAACACAAATCAGCAAGAAGCTTGTGTCTGCTACTGACAGGCAGGCAGACTGCTAGGAGCTATTCTGATTCTTTATGAAAGATGTAACATGAGCATTATTAAATAACAGACGTGTCCATCTGTCCTCTGGAAGTATATAAAGAGAAACACAAATTAGAATTTCTTCACAGTGTTAGATCATCCGCCTTTCTGTAAGAAAATCTGCTGAAAAAAACTGAGAGAAATGAAGAGGTGCCAACTAGACTGAACAAGTGCTGACAGAGCTCATGAAAGTGCAGAAAAATCTCATCTAGCTCTCAAGAAATCCAAAATAAGTAATTCAAGAGCACACACACCCAAACCTACAGCTTATGCATACTTTGTGGTTGGCTTTGTTTTTTAAGATACATAGGCTACGCTACATGAACACCTCTGTCACGTGGTGGTCACTATGGCAAAATAACTCAAAATATCTACAACCAACCGCTAATATTTTTGCCACTACATGTTCTATTAAACCATTTGGTAAAGTTACTGCAACATTCCTCTGAAACACAAAATGGAAAGATATTGGTAGCTGAATTAGGAGTAGCCATGCCACCATTACTTGGAAAGTTTTAATATTTCTACAAATCTAATTCTTACATCTCCTGTTTCAGTTCCATGGAGTGATACAGTTTTAGTCTCAACCACAAGGGACAAGAAAAGTGTTAAAATTGTAGATGTTTGAACATTTATCTAAAATTCACTTTTGTAGTTTGCTTCTCTCCTGTTTTGTTGGCTTCACTAAGAAGTTCCTTTCAGTTTTCTATTAGAATATGATTACAATTTAAGAGCATAAACACAGTAACTATATCAGAGTCAAGGATGATCAGAGAGCCATTACTTAAACGCCTGTTTTCAAAACGCTTACAGATAAAACCACATCATCCATGGAAAGTATATGAAATGTAGGTAAGGCAACAGGGGACAAACAGAAAGCTGACTATTTGTCAGCAACATTTAGGTAAAGAGAACACAACCACAACCACTGTCTCTGCTGGCAGCAATTCAAGAAAAATATTACCTCAGATATCCAAGAGCAATTCCTGAATGAGGATCATGCCTTCCTTTCAGTTTCAGCAGGGAAAGAAGAACAGCATTCAAGGGTTTATGGAAAAGAGCAGGCAGTAGAGTCCATGTTATCAGCAGATACCAGTAACACAGAACAGATATAGGCTAAAAAGAAATCATACAAGTACTGAGAACAGGAGGAAGGCAACAGTAAGAGCTCTCAGCCAGAGCAGTGCTGCCCAGCCTGATGACATGGGCATCAGATCCCCAAATGCACACATAATAAGGCTGTATGGTATTTTGAGACAAGGTCTGGAGAAAAACCCACAAAAAGTCATATTTATTTACACCTTATGTGCCATAGAACACTTTGCTTTCCATTTTCAATTTGGGGTTATACTTCAAGAGATGGAAATTTGGTGGTTCACTTCCATTAGGGCAGTGCATCAATTCCTGGTATTAAACCTTGGAAAACAACTTATTTACTGAAAAAAACCATCACCTGTAGCCTTAGTGAGCTCACACTTGTTTCGGTGCATTAAGCTCAGAGTCTTGTTTTATTTCATGGTTTAATCCTTGAAAGAACCAAAGATTGATCCTTTTGGTCTAAAAACAAATGGAAATTTGGGAAGTCAGTAATCAGGACAATGATAGTCAGAAAGAAGGCAAGGACAAGACAGTGAACTACAGTCACATGACTGACCAGAGGGTAATTACTATCATTCCTATCTGAAAGGATGTACATGGCTGAATATCAATGTCAAGCTGCAGAAGTTGTCTCAATGGTGCGAAATCACACTGGTTAAACAATGCCACTTTTTCTGTTCCTTTTTTCCTCCCAAGTAAATACAGGAATAGAGGGAACATAATTTACATGAACTTTTAAAACCAACAAAAAGATATTCTTACATTAGCTAATACATTCTGAGACTTAAACACATGCAGACACACCATTAGATACAGGTTTGGATCAAGTCTATTCACATGGGAGCATGCAAAGTTGGATTTAGAAGTGACTTCATATTCTTTGAGGGCCTTAACCTACGCTCAGATTTGAAAACTATCATCTTTGCAGGTAACAAATTCAGATGTGTATTTCACCATTTCAGAATCCATTTAGTATCTGTAAAACAAATATACCCCACCAAAAAAAAACCAGTAGCAAAGTAAAAAAACCCACCAAACACTTTTATGCTACTGCTAATAACTTGACTGCAAAGTAATGAAGTGCATCTCTGCAGACTTAGGAAAAGGATGAGATTATTTAGTGCATTTGTTTACAAAGAGCACCTTGTGATTTCGGGGACATAAAAGACAAATTGTTTATTGTGAAGATATCCAGTCACTGCTGTAAAGACACTATGAAAGCAGGTAAGGTAGGTAAGGTTGCACTACATCTTTTTTTTGCCAATGATTCTACCAAAATGTCTTAAGTATTTAAAATTTCACACTAAGCAGGTGTGATTTGGAAAACTACTAATTTAAATAATTTTTTTGAAACTTATACATATCTGAATCCAACAGCTTATCAGTCTAAACCTCACTGTAACTATTTTATGGGTATTTCCAAATGATGGTACAGGCTTGACTAATGATGCCCACCCAAATGATTTAATAGGAGGTTTTCAACATATCCTGAGGACAACAGGTTCCACCTCCAGTGCACACTGAGAAATGGAGGCTTCTGCTGATGTTGTTATTGATCACTTATTATAAGAGATAAACAAGCAGCTTTGGAAAATATGCCAAACAAAAAGAGGGAGAGGGAGAGAGGTTAAGGAAAAAAAGCAGTAGAGATCAGGATTTCCAGAAGTAGGATGTGACATCAAAGACAACTAGACTTTACTCTGATGAACTCTTTTATTTTGACATGACCTGGCAGCACTACCTAACACAGCATTCCTGATCCACTCCTGAGTCTGGCCTCTCACTTCGAGCCTTGCATCATCCTCTCCCTACTGCTGACACAGCCATTTGTACAGCCATATGGCAAACCTGAGCGGGGAAATAAGAAGCAACACAATTTTGGCAAAATTATTTTGCAGTCAGACCAATTCCCCAATATGATTCACTGTGCAGTGGCACAAGCACTACAGCAGCACAAGGACAGCAGGTGGCCATGAAGAGAGAAGCTGCTTCTTCCATGGTCAAAACAAGCTAAATGGAGTAAAGGTATTAGCATCCAGCCAAGTGAAGATCATTCATTTTGTTAAAAGCCATTTCAACAGAAGAACAAAAGAGTGGAAAATGGTGAAAAAGTGAGGAAAATGTAAAGATAAATTCAAAACTGAAGTTTTAGACTGTGTATTTACTGAATTTGGGGCAGAACACAACAAGATAAAATGGGGTGATGGCCAGAATCATTGATAGGATGATTTTTTTTTTTTTAAATGATGAAGCTAAAGCTGGCAATTCATGTGAAAAAAAAAATTTAAGAAAGTCAGCAAATTAAAAAAGGATGAAGAATGATGATAAATGGAATGGAAGGAGATGAAGATGCAAAAACAGAGGGGCAATCACTTAAAAAAAGAAACAACAGCATATCCTTCTTTGAAGCACCAGAGACCAGAAATTTCATGTACCCTCCACCACTTCCATAGCTATTTCTGGACTATCACAATAAAAGTATGACATTATTAAAAAGCCAAAGCATACATGAAACCTGT